TTATCTACCATAATTGGCCCCCTAATCACGGAGGCCGTATCCAGCATTTACATCATCATCATCATCATCTTCATCTTCGACGACGTAGCAACGTCGAGGCCAGTTGCAGCAAACGCTTTTTTTGCTTCTCTTCCAGCAACCAGCAGTCTCTTTGCTGCAAGACGAGAGAACATTTATGCATTTCCTACGGCCTCCTCAAACCCACAAATCCAATGGACTTTGTTGCATTCTTGTCCTACTTCAGATTCACATGACCAGGTAGGCAATTCCCTTAACTTCCTGTCCGTCACACTGTTTCCTTCACAATCACAATGCACAGGGTCGGTGAATGCAAAGAATGTACATACTCTTACTTGGTCGGGCTTACATGAAACGTCTTGACGGCAAATAAGAAGCAGGAAAAGCGCCACGACTGCGTGAAACCGGCAGCTCATCGTAAACTCGGTTGACATCCTTAGTCTCGTTTATGTCACAATTAGAATGAAGCATACTGCCCTGTTGGAATGGTGCACTCTGGAACGGACTTTGCTCCTTTGATGGACCGTCACAAATTCACTTTGAGCTTACCGCAAAACAGACTGTCATTGGGTGCTATAAATAGCCTATGTCTGTGTGTGTCTCAATTAGTCTCACGTCTTGAGCATACATTTGCAGAGATGATTTGTGTACTGATGCCATGCTACTGGAAGTACATCATCGAAAAACCCTACCAATCGAGACCTAGGCTGAAAATGGGCACTTTACAAAATGGTAAACAAATGTAAAATATATGGGATTCACACCTTACTACTTACATCATTTCAGTAGAGTGCACAATCAAATAAGAAGACTCCGACACATTTCTGCGCTCTCGATGGACGATGCCGCAACACGTGAGGTTGTCTCTGGTTGCGGATGTCATGAGAACCGATGATGGATTTTACAAAAGGAATACGGCTAGTAGATCATAGAGGCTTCAGTTAATTGCGTGAGAAAGCAATGCTATGCTGACCTTCATTTCGGGTAAAAAG